ATATGTTGATCTGTTGTAACTTGTAAGACCCACTATATATAAATGGTAGTATATCATAAGATTGCGTTCAATCAAAAATTAATAAACACTCATCCAAATAAAAAACAAAGAGGATGTCTACTATGATCAAGATGACAATAATGATGATGGCTTTAGTAACAATGGGATGCGTTGCTCTTCCATCTTTTCAATATAGACACAAAAGTAACTAAAACTTTCTCTCTCTATAACCAATTTCTTTCTTTTTTTGTTCTTTTGAAATTACATAATTTAAATATTTAATCTCACGCTTGGCGTGGGTCAAAATCTAGTAAATAGGTAATAGAGAATACCAAATAATTTTCTACGTATAATTGATCACACTTAAAGTATCATATCTTATACACCATCTTTACACAAGACGGTGGAATGAGCCACAAATCAGATGATTTTGTTGTTGTTGTGGATGTTGAATACATGAGGGCACTTGTTTTATCCAATGTTGAATTATATCGATGATGCTACTTATCATCTTACAATTATTAGGAGCTCTAGTGTTTCTTTAAACCTGGGTTTCGGTATTAATAAAATTTCAATTCAATGTTAAAAAAAATCAATAAACATGTTTACAAATAAACAAACCTATTGATTTTTAATTAAAAAGAAGTTACAAAAAGGTATGATCTATAATATATTTATTGACATATGTGCTAATTATAATTTTTGTGTATAGTGTCTATTTACAAAAATTATTAACAAAAAGCGTTAACGGGTTAGGTTTTTTTTTTCTTTGAGAAAATGCGGTTATTGACTGGGCTTGTCTTCCAAAATCGGACACATTAATCCTTCACGGAATGGGTTATTATTGACCGGGCCAGTTTGAAAAACAATAATGAAAAGGAAGATGTCGTAAAGAAAAGGATAAAGTTAGGGTTTCACAGCATCCTTGTTCACAAAAACGACCTAGCCATGAAGATTATTCAGAATATGGAACTCGATGAGAAAGATGATGATACATCCACCGATTCATCTTCTTCTTTTTCTTATTCGGACTTCGATGAAGATGACCTTAGATCGTGCAATGAAGAATTCGCAAGGAGCGGGAATTTCGACTTTGACTTCTCTCGAGTGCGTCGGACATACAATTTTAAACCTGTGATCTTCAATCAGAACTGCTTCACATACGAACCAGATACTGATGAAGCTTCTCTGGAACGGCTTTTGAAGGAGGCTATTAAGAAGTGCAACAAAGAGGAAGGAACAAATCTTGAATTAGTCAAGGTTTTGAGAGCTAATTTTCATCCTGGTGGAGGTATCACATTCTACATCACCTTCGAAGCCATAGATCATGCTCATGCTCATGATCAACCTAAATCATATCAAACTATGATCGGATACCTCCCTATGGATATCAGGGTCATATATGTCAGGCCTAAACCATGACAGAAATAAAGTTACGCAGAATGATACCACTAACATCTATATGAAAGCGTTATATTTCCCCTTGATCAATTACAGAAGATGTACATGGCTTATATAGCCTCAACCGTTACAGAGAATCAGGAAGTGATCCCTAAATATCAGGCCTATACAAACAATATGAACTATGTAGCTAAAATAGCGTAACTAACTAACAATGTCTCTAACA